AACCGTGTTTGTCTTGCATCTTGCAACTTATCTGTTGAGGATGTACTACGAAACCTGTTACACTCAATAGATCTATATGCATTACTAGACACCATAGAGCCTTCTCGATATCCACCTCTCTGAGATCCGTTCGTCATCAATGATTGCATTTTGCTCTCAGACTGCTCTATTCCAGGGGTGAAATGCAATAGACTGGCGAACTTGCTCATAGATTGATTGACACTATCTTTTACCAGCTTCAGAATATCATCAAACTTTGGCTCGATGCCTTCATCCTCTATACGAGAGCTTATCTTCACCCACTTCCTTTGCAGTCGAGTAGGTAGGCGTCTCGCTATTACTTCTAGGATAATACTCGAGTTGAGGTCACTCGTGCAGTTCATCAAAATCAATGCGTTCTGTGAGTCAAAAGATTGCCCGAAAACTCAGTGAGTGCCTTGGAGTCATTTTGCAATTGACCACCATTACCCTTAACAGCCTCGAATAATTTCCCTGCAATCATCGAAGGTCTTCTAAACCTTTGACGTAATATGCTCATAGCCTCATCGTAGCCCTCTTTTGGCTTCATAAACTTACAGCACTGTGTAGATCTTGCAGCATCTCCAGTGCAATATCTCATCAAGTACATTAACTTCATTTCATCATTTAATAAAAAACCACTAGACATGATCTCAAACCCCCTTGCAAATTGTAAATAGTCAGCGGGGTTTCCATCGAAACACCGAGGTTCAAATTTAGGGAGTTTGATGTTCCTATTATCCCTGAACGGCGAAACAGTAACATCAACCATGTCATGTTTAACATCAGACACATCGTTACAATTAACAGACAAGTCACCATGGCTTACTTTCCTGTTTGCATCCAAGACGCTCTGTCCCTTCTTTGACCCAGTAATTGTTGAACTTGAACCAATTCCAAAAACGTTCCAGATATTGCTAGTTCAAAGAAGACTTGACCGGCACCAGGAAAGATGAACGGTGACTATCCAAACTTTCACCAACTGTTCGAAACCGTCAATAACTGACGGCGTACCGTCAGAAACTGTCAGCCGCGTCTCGTAAACCGTTAATGCCCAGTTCTTGCTAGGCTGGGACTCACGCTGTTTCATCGAAGCTTCTCAGAAACGCTTAGTACGAACGGACGCAAAAACCAGAACCCAGTTTGGCGACTCGAGAATTCTTTATTCTAACACCAACACATAGCCATTGTACAACTAAGCTTTACAACTAAGGTCTATGAACAAATATTACAATAATAAATCACAATATTACTTCTAACAGTTTTGGTCTGACTTCTTTCTGAACAGCGACCGATGAGACGATGACTGGCTGATGGATGCCTCCGCGAAAATTGGGAAGTTGGTTTTGAGCAAACAACTATGAATTGATCGTTTAATCTTCAACCACATTGACACTGAGGGTTTATGAGCCGTGTCTGTCATTCTATTTTTGGTGCTATTTGTGCCAACTTGTTTCTTTTTACTTTCATATCTTCAGTTTTTGGGAAATCAGACATCTATCATCAGCGAATTCCAGATCCTCCAAGTTTTTTGTGTGTGTCCGTTTTATGCCTGTTTCCGCATTGCTCGTTGTCTGCCGCACTATCTAATCTGCTGCAATCAGGAAAATCATTGGCGATAGTAGACAGCCTTGCCTTACCCCCGTCCCCACTTCGAAGGCCTCGGTTAGTTTCCGGTTGTGGATTACTTGGCAAGGAGCACTGTCGTATAACTGTTGGATGAGATGTAAAATTGTCGCCGGGACCCCCTAGTAGCGAAGTGGTTGTCAAATGACCTCTCGATCGGGGTCTTTTCAAAGTCAATGAAGTTGAGATGGAGAGATGACTGCCATTCCAAGCTCTGTTCAATGATGATCCGTAGTGTGGCGATTTGATCGATGCATGACTTGTTTCTCCTGAATCCAGCCTGTTCCGGTCGAAGTCTTTCATCCAGGTTGGCGTGTTTGGTTCTCTCTAGGATGATGCGATTTAGTATCTTGCTTGGAATGGACAGAAGCATAATTCCACGCCAGTTTTTACATTGACTTAAGTCTCCTTTCTTTGGTAGTTTGAATAAGTATCCTTTCTTCCAATCCTCGGGTACTTTGCCCTCCTTCCACACCTTCTCCAGCAATGGCGTCATCAAGTCCGCTGTTTTCTCTGGGTCTATTTTCAATGCTTCTGTTGGGATTCCATCTGGTCCTGCTGCTTTTCCAGCTTTTGGCATCTTGATTGCATTCAGGACTTCTGGTTTCGTCGGGGGGGATCGATGTTCGCTGGTAGATCTGCTTCCGTTGTTGGTATTGTTGGGCGCGTTGTAGGTGACGGTCGATTTAGAAGTCTTTTGACGTGTTCAACCCAGTGCTTTCTCTGTTCCACCTCTTTGGTGATTGACTTTCCATTGTCGTCCTTTATTGGCTTAATCTGTGTCGAACGTTTGCCCAATAGGTTCCTAGTTGTTTGGTAGAGTGTGGCGAGGTCTCCTTTGCCTGCACTGCAGCTTGTTCTGCTTCACTTGACATGGCTTCATAATATTTTCTTTTGTCTTCCCTGGCACTCTTCTCCACTCTTTTGTTCGGTGTATTGTAGCTTGCATTCAACTCCTGTTTTTGTTGCTCGTCGGTGCACTGGATAATCTTTTGTTTCACCATCCTTCCCCCTTCTATTAGTTTACAAGTATCCACAGTGAGCCACTGTTTGTCCTGTCTCTTCTTTCTGCCTAGAACTTCCATGCAGGTTTGACTCCACACCGCTTTCAGGTTGTCCCAGTGCTTTTCGACGCTAACCTCTTCGCTAGGGTTGATTTGTTTCGCGGCTTTGTCCCTTACATGGACAGATGTACGCTCGTATGGACAGATGTACGCTCGTCGGACATCATATATGCCTCACCAACTACAACCCAACATTCCTGAGATAATGTGATGAACTTATATCCGTAATGTTGCTGAGCAGTCAATATCCACAACTCATGTCGTAACAACTAAAATTCAAAAACCTTCCTTACGAGAAGTAAATACCCACAAGCAGTAGAAATCCATTAATTAATGCGTCTAAAGCTTATGTATTTTACTCCCAACAATGACATTTCAGATCAAATGAGATAAACATATCATTGATTTCAAAATAACACATCAATGAACTATAATTCAAGGACTCTGCATACAACAAAGTATTGTACGAAAACTGACTTCAAGCTTTATTTTTTTCCCAGGCACTTATAACCCATCCACCAAAGACCTGGTTTTTTTTGTTAATGCGAAGACAATACTTCTGTATTTCCTGATGTGTTGCACTCACTGACAATCTAGCGGATTTTTCCAACTATGCACAGAAATGATTGTACATAAGTGAAAAGGATGTTTTATACTATTCGGATTAACATTTACCAAGTGTATGTATAATCTCCAGTGTACATGTTAAACATATTTTGCTATCGACTGTGAATTGTGACTAAATAATATGATCCTATTTCTGTAACAATTTGATGATGCCTGTAAACTGGCGTCCCTCATGTACTGTATCATGAGAATAAATTTATTTATTTAAATTTATTTATTTATGCTTGCAGTGAAGATGTCCTTTGTATCTTGGTCCTT